AAAAAAAAAAAAAAACTGAGGCAAGAGGATCTCTGTGAGCAACCTCACAGCAAGAGGTTGCTGTGAGCTATGACTCCATGGAACTCTACCCAGGGTGACAGCTTGAGACTGTCTCAAAAAAAAAAAAATTAGCAGGGCATGATAGAGCATTCCTATAGTTCCAGCTACTGGGGAGGCTAAGGCAGGAACTCTACCCAGGGTGACAGCTTGAGACTGTCTCAAAAAAAAAAAAAATTAGCAGGGCATGATAGAGCATTCCTATAGTTCCAGCTACTGGGGAGGCTAAGGCAGGAGCTAGAAGCCAGGGGTTTGAGGTTGCAGTGAATTGTGATGATGCCACTGCAATACAGTGTGCGTGACAGAGCAAGACCCTGCCTATAAAACACACACACACATACACACACGCACGCACGAGTATTACAAAAAATTGTAATACTCAAGTCACTGCAATTACAAGAGATACAAGTTACAAATACAAGATAACAAATGTTATTGATATATATTGAGTATTACATTTTTAATAGTTTTTTCCTTTAAAGTGTATACATTTTTTATGGCACCCTGTATATGTGCACACATACGTATTATTTGGAAGCAGATCCTAGGTATCGTTACACCTGTAAATATTTCAACATTCATATATGAGGAATCTTTCAAAAGAAGACCACAATGCCATTTTCAAACCTAAAAAAAAAAAATACCCCTGTAACCCACCCCCTTCATCTCAGCCTGACTGTACGAAGCCCTTAACCTCTAGCCTTAGCCGACTCTATGACCTTAGCCCTGGCCCAAATCCTCCTCTGACCCTTGACCTCGGACCTGCCCTGGCCCCTATACGAAGTCTTGGCCAAGCACCCATTAGGTGGGACCTTACCCCTAAATAGACTATAGAAGAGGCGGGGTTAGGGTGGCACCTGTGACTCAAGTAGTAGGGTGCCGGCCCCATATGCCAAGAGTGTGCGGGTTCAAGCCCAGCCCCGGCCAAAAAACTGCAGAGGGAAAAAAAAAAAAGGCGAGGTTAGGTTATAGGCGGACTTGTGTCACTGTGTGGATGGTGTCCAATAGCGCAAGGGAGGAGGTGGTTTCTGGGGAGCCAATAACTTGAGAAGGTGGGACGAGAAGCAACCAGTAATCTTGAGCGAGAGGCGGGACTCTGCGGAAAGCTAATCTCTGGTGGAGACTGTCGAGCCACAGCCAATGGCTGTGGATTGTGGGCGTTGCCTGACCCCGAATGCTTCCACTACCCGGCTCCAGGAGTATGGCCGGGAGTGGGCGGCTGGCTTTGTGGACACTGCCTGGGCCGCAGTGGATACGAGGCTCGGGCCCGGCCGTGCTGAACCGCCTGCGGGACGCAGCCGTGGTGCGGCCTGGTTTCCTGAGCGCGGCTGAGGAGGAGACGCTGAGTCAGGAGCTAGAGCCTGAGTTGCGCCGCCGCCGCTACGAATATGACCACTGGGACGCGGTGAGGCGGGTTTGGCGTGGGGGGGCGGGCCCCGAGACTAGAAAGCCAAGGTGAGCCGGGGCCTTTCTGGGGGCGGGGCTTCTGCGCTGGGGGCGTGGTTGTGAGTGGGGCTCTGGGATGGGCGGGGATGCGCTGTGAAGGTACGTACAGAACCGGTGCTGTGGGCGCAGGTCACGCTAGGGTAGGGCCACGGCCGGGCGGTACCTAAGACGAAGGCGGGGCTGAAGCAGTAGCAGAGGCAAGACCCAGGGGAAGGGGATTTCGGGGGCATGGCCATAACTGGAGGCAGGATATGGAACCTCGAAATTTGGGATTTAGGATGGTGTGTAGTGAGATGATGGAGGGCAACTGTTGGGTACAGAGATAAACGAGTGGAATCAAGTTGAGGGGAGTACTTGAAAATTTGGGGGCTGGGTCAGCATTGGGGAAGAGGAATTGGAGCCTGAGGGTGGCTGCAAAGGACTGACGTCAGGCCTAGATGGGCCCTGGGGTTCCCTTTATCGATTTGAGACCTAGATGAGGTAGTGGTTGCGCTTTGAGGGCGGGATCAAGTCAGACTTGGAGGACCAGCCCCTTCCTTGCCCTGCAATCTGCCCTATCTGTGCTTCAGTTACCCTGTTCCCCCCGTAAGCTCCCAAGGTTGACCCCAACCCTCTGTTCAGGCCATCCATGGTTTCCGAGAGACAGAGAAATCGCGCTGGACAGAGGCTAGCTGGGCCATCCTGCAGCGTGTGCAGGGGGCTGCCTTTGGCCCTGGCCAGACTCTGCTCTCCCCAATTCACGTGCTGGACCTGGAGCCTCAGGGCTACATCAAGCCTCACGTGGACAGCATCAAGGTGGGCAGAGGCCAGAGCCTTCCAATGCCCAGCCTAGGGGGTGGGCAGGCTAGGCCAGAGCCTGACCCACCACCACACCTCTTCTTCCAGTTCTGTGGAGCCACTATCGCTGGCCTGTCTCTCCTGTCCTCCAGTGTCATGAGGCTGGTGCACACCCAGGAGCCAGGGGATTGGCTGGAACTCCTGCTGCAGCCAGGCTCCCTCTACATCCTTAGGTACCACCAGCCAAGGAGCCACTACCTGTCCCAGGATGTGCTGAATGTCCACCCACTGCCTTGAGCACTTTCCCTCAATCCAGCCCCTGCAGAAGATGCTCCAAGCTGGTGTGGGGGGATGGGAACAGGTGAACACAGAACTGCCTGGAGCAGGGGCTGCCTTTATCCCACCTGATCACATAGCCTCTGTTTTCCCTCACAGGGACTCAGCCCGTTATGACTTTTCCCATGAGATCCTTCGGGATGGAGAGTCCTTTTTTGGGGAGCGACGGATTCCCCGGAGGCGACGCATCTCTGTGATCTGCCGCTCCCTCCCAGAAGGGATGGAACCAGGGGAGCCCAAACAGCCACCTCCTGCTTGCTAACCCCAAGCTTGTCCCTAAGCTTCCCAGAGACTATATTTGTGAATAAAGTTGGAGATGGGTGTCCTTGTGCTAGCTGCTTGCCAGCGCTGGGACATATTGGGGAAGCCCAGGATGGCACCTGACCTTGGTGACCTCACTGGGCAGTAGAGGCTGAACATATGGTCACAAGTGTGGGAGGTTGGTCTTTTATTGTGCTCATTGCTGGCCACCCTGGTCTACCTCCCCTCTGGTGCTTCTCTGTGTCCAGGCCACCAATAAATACATCAGCCGAGCTCCTCCAGTGTGTGGCTCCAGGGCACCAGGCTGGCACCTTCACCCGCCACAGCCACAGGCAGCCGCTGAGAGCTGGGGCAGCCTCTGCCAGCGGTGGCGGTCGTCAAGGAAGGCCACATCAGCATAGTCAGTAGGCAGGCAGCAGGGTCCACCATGGGCTCGGCCCTGGCCCCGCAGCCGGGCCAACACCAGGCCATGCTGGGTACGGGCACCAAGGGGACACCTACCAGCACAGTAGCGGAAAATGACTTTCTCCTCTGAGGTGTAGCCCAGGCCCAGCTCTGCCACTGGCAGTGTCAGGCTCCACAGCTGGCAAGGGCCAGCTGGTGCTCGGCGCAAGCGAGCAGGATACCAGCGGATACCTAGGGAAGAGAAGGGGACTGATATTATGCCGGGGTTGGACAGGAGGGAGTTGGGAATCCACGGGGGGTCCCTGGGAATCCTTACCCAGCCGGTTTCTGCCAGCTTCTGCCGCCTGCTCAGACAAGAACTCTCCTTCAGCCATCGGAACCCCCCAGCCACTGGGGCCCCAACCCAGACCTGACTGCAGTGACAGCAGCAGCAAAAAGCAAAGCAGGACCGTCCCGGTGGCCATTGTGACAACAGGTCCAGAGGAGGTCTATGTCCTGAATTTATCTCCTGCCTGGGCTGGGGAGCTAACCTCTTCACTACCGGTTTCTGCAGCCAGAAGGCCCTATTTGCTGCCCCAGTTCGGCTACCATATCCTCAGGTCCAGGCCAAATACACCCTTCCTCCCTAAGAGTTAAGGGCTCACCCTCCTAGCCCACCCCACCCTGACATTCCACAGACCCATTTCCAACACTCCTGATGCCCCCTGATTTATGAGTGTTGTGCCTGTAGCCAGGGCTGAACCCAGGGTGGGTGCCCAGTGTTCTCACCCCACCTACAGCCTGGAAAGGGAGGTGGAGGGCTCCACGGGTCCCACCATTGGGGTCCTTCCCTACTAAGGCAGAATGCTGGAGGTCAGAAGCCTCTATGTAACAGGTTATGTGCCAGGTGGGGCAGATGCTTATGCTGGGCAGAGCGGTTTGGCAGGTTGGTGAGTCCATCATGGCTCCTGCCTGGAGGATTAGGACTTCATGCCCCTGTCTCCGGGCCTGGCAAAGTCAGCATCAAAACAGGAAAAGGGAGAGGCCAGAGGACAGACAAAGACACAGGGGGGCAGGGATTCCTGTGTCTGTAAGGCCAACCTGAGGACCCCAAGACTAGTTGGGGTCCAAGAGCATCAAGCCTGAGGCAAAGGAATATATGCTATATATATAGCCTGTGATGTCTGAAAGGGGGCTTCACCCCATGCACAAGAGAATGGGGTAAAATTTTAGTCTGCACCCCATCAGATTGGCAAAAAACAGAATCTGCTCTCACACAGGTTTGAGTGACTGAGGCATTCTCTTGACACTTGGTGAGGATGTAAATTAGTAGCAACTTGTTGAATTAGGAACTGCTATTGGAATTGTAAATCTCACCTCTGCCACAAGAAATCTAGATTCATTACACACAGGTAAGTGAAACAGCCACAAGGACATTCACTGCCTCCTGTATTAGGCAGGACTGGCAGTGCCCTAAACTACAGCATCAGTGATTACTACAGAACTTCCTTAGGTTGCCTTCAGACAAAATAAAAAGGCCCTTGTTTGAAGACACTCAGAATTAAGTCACAGACCTGGGATTTGAACCCAGGTCCCCCTTACTGCAAGGCCCCTTCCCCAAACCATTATACCACACTGCCTTGTCTGCTGGTGGGGAGGCCGCACATGATGGGGACAGCAGGACAGACCCTGTCAAGGCAAGGGGTCAGAGCTGCTTTCCTGTATGACAGGAGGATGGAAGGCAGGCTGGACAAAAAAGGGTGACATTCCTAAGAATTAGCCTGTTATCTCAGGCATTCCTCCTCAGCGGCCAAGGGCCTGCTGAGCTGAGTGGTTAAGCTTCCAACCACTGGCATCCTCCCCACAACCAGATTACTCAGAATAGAGGTTCAGAAGCAGCGACTGAAGTCAGCTAAGTTCCATTTCCAGCCACATTACTGCATAGGAACCGGAAAAGCCTATCCCCTACAGAATGCCTGGCAAAGCTGGACAAAATAAATGCATAACCAAACCTATGTAAGGATAAGGTGAAACTGAAAAATCAGGTCCAGAAACCAGGAAGGTTAGGCTTTGGTGGTCACTTAGAGACAGAGTCCCTGAGCTGAGAATCATATAAAATGGGCATGGGATGATATTCCTGGGTAGCAGGCAGAATCAAAGGGAAAACCATCAGGAAAGACCACCCTGCAAAGTAGGCTACCCAGGATCCCCACAGATAAAGAACCCCTACCTTGACCATGAGGTCGAGTCCCAAATTATAAAACACAAGAAAATAGGATGGGCTGGGCACTGTGACTCACACCTGTAAATCCTAACACTCTGGGCAGCCAAGGTGGGTGATCACTTGAGCTCACAAGTTTGAGACTCCACCTCTACTAAAAATGAGAAACTAAGGAAAGAGGATTGGTTGAGCCCAAATTGGAGGTTGCTGTGAGCTATGAGACCACAGCACTCTACCCAGGGCAACAAGCTGAGTCTCTGTCTAAAAAAACAAAAGTCTGAGCAAGAGGGAGACTGTCTCTAAAAGAGCTGGGCATTGTGGCAGGTGCTTGTCATCCCAGCTACTTGGGAGGCTGAGGTATAAGAATCACTTAAACCCAAGAATTTGAGGTTGCTATGAGCTAGGACACCATAGCAGCCTCCCAAGAGTGACCAAGTAAGACTGTCTAAAAAAAAAAAAAAAACACAAGAAAATAATTATCTTTGCAGCGCCCATAGCTTAGTGGGTAGGGCGTGGACCACATACACCCAGGCTGGTGGGTTTGAATTCGGCCCAGGCCAGCTAAACAACTGCAACCAAAAAAATAGCCAGGAGTTGTGGCGAGCACCTGTAGTTCTAGCTACTTGGGAGGCTAAAACAAGAGAATCGCTTAAGCCCAGGAGTTTGAGGTTCCTGTGAGCTGTGAAGCCATGGCACTCTACCCAGGGCAACATAGTGAGACTTCGTCTCAAAAAAAAAGAAAGAAAGAAAGAAAGAAATATCACAGCAGGGCATGGTAGCTAACACCTGTAATCCTAGCACTCTAGGAGGCCAAGATGGGTGGATTGCTTGAGCTCAGGAGTTGGAGACCAGCCTGAGCAAGAAGAGCAAGACCTGTCTCTAGTAAAAATAGGAAAACTACCTGGGTGCCATAACAGGAGCCTATAGTCCCAGCTACTCAGGAGGTTGAGGAGAAGGATCGCTTGAGCCTGGGAGTTAGCTGTGAGCTATGATGCCACTACACTCTACCCAGGGCGACAGAGTGAGACTGTCTCAAATAATAAAAATAAACAAATAATCATGAAGGGGAGTCAGAACAGGAAGCTCATGAATCTGAGATTCTAGATGTGTCTGACAGACTATAAAGATGCTTAAAATTAAAACATAAGCCAGGTGCAATGGTGGGCACCTATAGTCCCAGCTACTCAGGAAGCTAAGGTGGGAGGATCACTTGAGCCCAGGAGTTGGAGGCTGCAGCGAGCTATGATGACATCACTGCACTCCTGCCTGGGTGACAGAGCAAGATGCTCTCTCTAAAACAATTTTTTTTTCTTTTTTTTTTTTTGAGACAGAGCCTCAAGCTGTCGCTCTGGGTAGAGGTGCTGTGCATCACAGCTCACAGCAACCTCCAGCTCC